AAATTATTAATTTAATTAAACTATAAATTAAGTGTGACACACATGGCTAAATTAATATTTGAATAAGGCTAAATACGAATAATAATATGAATTATAAATAGAATTAATAATAAATTAAATTAATTAATATAAATTACTTATTTGTCCAATTTAGTAGTGATCGGTAATTACTGCGCCACGTGCTGCGGCTGCGCCATATGCTGCGCCACGTCTACTGCGCCACTCGAATAAGCTAATTGGTTACAATATTAAGTATCAAACTAACAAATTTCATTCTAAAAGATAAATTAATTAAAAGATAAGAATTATAAATAAAAATAATTATATAAATAAATAATTAATATAAAATTAATAAGAAAATAAAGATAATAATAAAAATTAAAAAAAATAAAAAAAAATAAAAAATTTAAAGAATAATAAAATAAAATAAAGTAAGATGACTAAGATCATGAAATAAAAATAAAGAATGAATTAATAATAATTTATTTATTTATAAATATATTTTATTTTGTTATAATTTTATTCATTAATATAATTATTTTAGAAAGAGAAATGATCAAAAGAAATGTATCATCAATTTGGCATAATAAAGTCCAAGTTAAGTAAAGTGATGTTATATTTTATTTTTTAAATTGCATATGTTATTTATTTATGCTTTTAAACGATATATGAACTGAATTTTATTTATTATTTCAGTTACTAGAGTTAATAAAAAGAGAATTGAAATTATTTTTACTTGTTATCTCATGGACCAAGGCAGTTTTTTCATACTAGAAGGCCCTAGAATAACGTGAAGATCCGACGTAGCACTGAATGCTTTTGCCGGTTGAAGAAGATATTTTCTTTTACAGAATAATAAGCAATACAGTCATTAATATCCTAGCCACGACAAAAAAAAGTGTCGGATCATGTGATTTTTAAGGGGTAAACCAATCAAATTGCAAGATCAATGTGTAACGGAAAAAATTCAAAACAAAGAAAAATAACTTGTATCAAAACTTTGCATGTCACGTGGAATATAATCCTAACTACAATTCTAATCTTAATTATAATTAACAACCCTTAAAAAATCACATGATCCGACACTTTTTTTTGCCGTGGCTAGGTATTATTAGCTATGTTGCAGTATAAAATAGGTAATCTGTACAACAATCGATTTTTTAAAAAGGGTCTCACATGATTAGATGAGTGGTTTATATAATTTCTATTATGGCAACAACTCAATATTCACGCTTCTCAACGCGTTAACAGCCCACTCTGGATACTTTTCACGCCCACCAAACAGCTCTTTAAAAAATTTCTGAATAAATTCTGGATATCGATCCTCAATAATCGCTTCACGAATGCTTCGCATCAGTCGTAATTGATACGAGAGATTATGAAGTGTGAGCAGATGGCAACCAACTGTTTCTCGAGTGGCGAGCGTATGAATGTAAGCCCTTGTAAATGATTTGCATGTTATGCAGTCGCAGGTTTCTTCGATCGGGGAAAAATCATGAGCAAATTTATTTGATTTTATATTAAGTGTTCCCTTTGATGTTAGAGCATTGCCGAATCTCTATTTCGTTATTAATTCCTCGGTAAGTAAAAAGACTAGGTTATAAATGAGCCATTGATTATTTATTAGACTTACTGCAGTGCGAGTAGGAAAGACGCAATCAAACATGTCAATGCCTAGTGCTACACAAACCACGAGATCTTCAGCATATCCAACACCCATACAATATATTGGCTTGTTTTTTGGCAATAGATCAGTAGAAAGAGTAATTCTATATCATAATAAAATGATTAATTATGATAATAATCATGTAATAAATAATAATATAAATGAATAAAATTTCGTAAGCTTACATTCGCCAAAATATATCTTTCTCTTCCCCTCCACTTAGTCCTCCGATTGCATATCCTGGAGTATCTCGCTTTATCATTTCTTTATAATCACATTTATCATATCATATCATATCATATTATATTATATAAATAATCATTAAATATTTTACATTAATAAATACCTTGAATACAAATTTTTCTCAATTCTGGAACTAAACCTCCTTGTGTTATTGCAAACAAATTTTGCGTCTCTGGATTTTTATGAGACTTGATGCACCGATCAAGCCATCGTATTGATCGATACATAGCCTCTTCGACGCGTTTGCCTGTAGTCAATGAAGAAACCACATCATCAAGTTGCATGATAATATCCGCACCAATAGAATTTTGTATGGACATTGAGTGTTCGGGCGTTAATAGCATTAGAGATCCATCATGCGGTGATTGAAATTGTACACCTTCTTCGGTGATTTCGGCGAGTTTTAATAGGGAAACCATTTGAAATCCGCCGCTATCCTAATCAATCATAACAGCCAATAATTAAATATGATTATATTTATGAATATATCAATAAACTGATAACTTACAGTCAAAATATTCCTTTTCCAATTCTGAAATATATGTGATCCGCCAACATCATCCAATAGCTCTTGACCAGGGCGTAAACCCTGAGGAAAGCAGTATTATAATCCATATTAATTAGAGTTTGTATCTCATCATTAATTAATATTTATTAATATCCTTAAATAAAATTAAATAATTAAAACAAAACA